AGGCTTGAATAACATCGCAGTTATTTTGGGCCCTTATATGTAATATTTTTTAAAAATTAGGCCCTTATATGTAATTAGTAATTATTTTCACTTTTCGGGCCTTTATTTGTAAATTCCCCATAAATTAATATGCGGTATTAATAAAATATACAAGTTGCGTAAGTTACGTCAGATAAAATTTAACTTCCGTAAGTTAGAATAATTTACTGTAAATTATACAAACCTAAATAAAACTTTTGTTCTGTCCAAAATAATTTTATTAGAGCAACAAATAACATTGTAAAACAATGCATGATCTAAAATATAATACATATTACCCTCGTTAATATCAACCTATTTGAATTGGTTTTAAATCATGTTGATAGTGATATTTATGAAAAATCATATTAAAGTTGATATATATGTATACATGTTGGCAAAACTATAAATCCTCAAAATCCCACCCAAATCCCAAACATAATAGAATTGTCCCAAATTCCAATCCCAAATCCCAATTCCAAACATAGTAAAATTCGTCCCAAATCCCAATCCCAAATTCCAAATCAAAAATCCCGATAGTTTTGCCAATATGTATATATATATGAGGGAATTTTGATATATAAAAATTTATAAAAATTTGTCTTATGGCTTAGGTTGATATTAACGAGGTTGATATTAACGGGGATCACCTGTATAATGTGATAATAAAGTTTTACATAGTCAAAATTTCATGACATTTGTGAAGAATTCGCATTATTACTAAAAAATAATAAGGCAGTGTCGCGCCGTGATCATGAGTTTCCGAATAACGAATACGTACTGTATGTACATAAAAATTTAAATTTTTTTTATACAAATACCATATGGTCTAATATTTTTATCATTTGCTGTAATCCAATATTTGTCATCATTCGCCTTTCTTAAGTCATTGGGATTAACCCTATTCTGAAAAATGACCTTATATTGACAATTCTGATAAGAAAACAACTTAGCATAGCATTCAGCTTCTTTAACATCAGGTGTTGAATAAATTCCTTTTCCATACAAAAAATGTTTTCCTTTTAAAAGATCAAATCCATCTTTAGCGATATTCTCAGCTGCATCTTTACTGGTGCCATGAAAAGAGACTGGCCAACTATTATTATTAGTTCCAATCCATGTATCGTCACCATACCTTTTAATACTAATTGCAATTCTTTTCCACCCGTAAGGTGGTTTGTATGGTTCATTTCCACGTTTAAGGGTCGGTCCATTTCGTTGATTTGTAAAATCATTATCATATCTAGGGTCTAAATAATCATTAGTCAGGACAAAATAATCAAAAGAACCTCCTATTATCCTATGAGAAACGTGTATAGTATCATTTTGTTTTATATTATAAGATTCCAGAGTTCTATGGTCTTCTAATGGTTTACTAGAAAAACTAAGGCTTATCTTTTTGATATTAATGCCAAGCATTGATCGAATTTTCTTTTTCAATTCCAAAACGGTGTCATTTGTGGTAGCATTTAATGCGTAATTTTTATGATAATATACAAAAATTCGAATGGGTTGCATAGGAATTTGAATGGTTTTTTCATCATTTTCAATTTTTTTGTCGTTTTCAACACGTTCAGCAAGTTCGTCATTTTTTACATTATGTTCGGCAGGTTGTATAGTATCATTTTGTTTTATGTTGTAAGACTCCAGAGTTCTATGGTCTTCTAATGACTTACTAGAAAAACTAAGGCTTATCTTCTTGATATCAATGCCAAGCATTGATTGAATTTTCTTTTTCAATCCCAATACGGTGCTATTTGTGGTAATATTTAATGCATAATTTCTACGATAATATGCAAAAATTCGAATGGGTCGCATAGGAATTTGTTCAATTTTTTCATTATTATCAACGTCAGCAGATTTGATTGTTTTTTTGTCATCAATTTTTTCGTCGTTTTCAACATCATGTTCAGCAGGTTCGTCATTTTCAATATCATGTTCAGCAGGTTCGTCATTTTCAATATCATGTTCAGCAGGTTCGTCATTTTCAACATCATATTCAGCAGGTTCGTCATTTTCAACATCATGTTTAGCAGGTTCGTCATTTTCAACATCATATTTAGCA